TTAATGCCAGTGGAATTTTAATGCTGAAGAGAGGAGAAACATGGTACTTGGTCTGGGTAATGCTGTTCTTAACTGACCACAGTAAAAATGAGGGATGAAATCAGTTCTTAAATATTGCCGCAGAATTGGAATCTATATCCACAACCAAGAGCAAGCAGATCAATCCCTGTTGGTGTCTTGCTTTCATCTCTTGGGCTAGTTAACTTCAACATAGTAATTTAGTGTCAGACATTTTGGAGGGAATATCTCATTCCTTTTCTTATTGATTGTGAGGCTCTAGAGGATGGTATTGCCAATAATGATTTCTGAGAAAATGCCTATCAGTTTCTCACTTTCATAGATACTTAGATATTTCCTGAAAAAAAATAACTTAAGTAAAGTTAAAGCTGACAGTTTCTGATTGTGAATTTTGCCTTTTTTATGACCAGGGTTTTATTTGTGATTTATACCTGGTACACCTCGTTCCTTCTTTTACTGGGAGGAAGTTTGGGTCGGAAAACTTATACACAGAGCTCAGGCTAAGCAGTAAAGTAGAAATATTTGTATATTTTCATTTCGTAAAGAATCATATTTTTCTAACATGCAAAGAAAATGAAGTTAAGTTTCAGTCTGTACACTTAGAGGAACTGCTTGTGTAGAAGAGCTTTTGAGATTGTATGAAGAATAGTATAGTTTCAACTTTTTTTGCATGTTTAAACATCCATTTCTATTAGCTATGTTCACTTTGCTCTGATGTTATAATTGGACATTAACCATCTATACAGTACTCCATTAAATCCTACCAGAATAAGAAAGGATAGCATAGAAGCCAGGTATATACTCTAAGGCTATTTTTTGTATAAGGCAGAGGCAGAGATAACATGTAGTGGAGGATTTTAGAGGTTAAGATATGTTTGGATGTTCATGATGGTTGAGAAAGATGAGACATAAGAAATCTATGGTAGGGGGCTGGAAAGGTGGCTCAGTGGTAGAGCGCTTGCCTTGCATGAATGAGGCCCTGGGTTTGATTCCTCAGTATCACATAAGCAGAAAAAAAAGCTGGAAGTGGCGCTGTGGCTCAAGTGGTAGAGTGCTAGCCTTGAGCTGAAGAGCTGAGGGACAGAGCCCAGGCCCAGAGTTCAGGCCCCATTACCGGACCCCCCTCCAAAAAAAAAAAAAAAGAAATCTATGGTAGTTTATATTCACTTATATTTGCTTGACTTCTAAAGAAATATAATAGAAAAAATACAACAAAAGCTAAAGAGAATAAAAATAGACAGAGTGTAATAAGCAGAGTCAAGGTATTGCCTTACCAGAAAATGTACTCCAAGTACTACAAAGATTAGTTCACCCAGAATGATGTAATGACCAAAATGTATAGCAATAATGTATTGTTTTCACAGATCTATAAAAAACATTTGTAAAAGAAGAAACTGAGTCTAGGGGTAGAAAGCTCCTGAGTTGAGTTAGTAGGCATTTAAATGTCTATATTCCTAGCTATCAAACTACGTTCTTAGCCTAGACAGATTCTTCCTACAGTATAGAATTGTAGTTTACAAAAAACAGCTGCCAGACCTGCTTAGGACAAAACAGGTTTCAGAGGCCTGCAGTTGTGCCTGATTGTTCCATCCATATGTACCACCCCTGCCTTGCTGGCCTTGGAGACACCTGTAAACCCATGGGACTTCATGAACTAAAGAATGAAAAAAAAAAGAACACTGACCTAGAAAAACAGATGGCTAACATTTCACTTAGTGCTTCCCTTCTGAAAAAATTTATGCCAATAGATCTGGAGAGAACTGATTCTAAGGTTTCCATTGACAAGTGCCGGTAACATGAATATTCTGTGCTGTTAATCAAATAGAGAAATATATGCCCCAGATCCTGTGTATGTGCTTAGAAAGTCTGATGTGATATGAGAAGTTGAAGAGACTCCCTTATTTTCACATTTAAGCATGGTGAGCTGAAGGATATAAAAGGCACACCATAGGCTGTATGTGTGCTGGCATGTACTTGTATACATGCACACAAACACACCTAAAGAATTAGCTGAGCTAGGCAGTGGCTCACACTTGTAAACCTAGCTATTAGGAGACTGAGATCTGAGGATCACAGTTCCAAGTCAGCCTGGGCAATAAAGTCCCCATGAAACTCTTATCTCCAATAAAACACTCAAAAACTGTAAGTGGTGCTGTGGCTCAAGTGGTAGAGCACTAGCCTTGAGCACAAAGATACTCAAGGACAGTGCCCTGAGTTCAAGCCCCACAACAAACAACAACAAACAAACAAATTAGATAACTAACTGGGATCTGTGCAGATGTTTTGACAGTCACTTCACTAAGTGTACTAATTTTTTTTTTGTTAGTAGTGGGGCTTGAACTCTGGGCCTGAGCGCTGTCCCACAGCTGTTCAGCTCAAGGTCAATGCTCTACCACTTGAGCTACAGCACCACTTCCAGTTTTCTGGTGGTTTTTCGGAGATAAGAGTTTCACGGACTTTCCTGCCTGGGCTGGCTTTGAACCGAGATCCTCAGATCTCAGCCTCCTGAGTAGCTAGGATTACAGGCATGAGCCCCCAGCGCCCGACTAGACCACTAAAATTTTATATTGTATACGTGCAACTGCTGCTGGTACCAAGGGCTCACACCTGTAATCCAAAGTACTCAAGAGGCTGAGATCAAAGGATAATGTTTGAAATGAGCCTGGGCAGAAAAGTCTGTGAGACTCTAATCTCCAATTAACCATTAAAAAGAAGTGGTAGAATACTAGCCTTGAGACAAAAAGCTCAGGGACAGTACACAGGCCCTGAATTCAAGCCCCAGTACTGGAAAAAAAGAAGAAAGGACACCTGCTGTCTGCAAATTGTAGAAGGTTTTTTTGTTTGTTTGTTTGTTTGGCAATCCTAGGGCTTGAATTCAGGCCTGGGCACTGTCCCTGTGCCTCTCTGTGCTCAAGTCTAGCACTCTACCACTTGAGCCACAGAGCCACTTCTGACTTTTTCTGTTTATGTGGTACTGAAGAATCGAACCTAGCTTGATGCATGCTAGGCAGGCACTCTACCACTAAGCCACATTCCCAGCTCAGATTGTAGGGGTTTTAAAGACTATCTATAGGTTATATACTTCTTAGAAGTTTCTGAATATAGATGATAAGATTTATTGTTAAAATCTCCATTCTTAGTAGACCTGCATTCAGATGAGCTCACTAGAATATTAACTGTCAAATATATTCCAGACACATGTGTAAGTTAAGACACTGAACACTGAAATGCTCTGACATGGTTTGCAGTTAGTGATCATTCTAAAGAGTGAATACTCAACAGATTCTTGCACTGACATTTAAAAACATAAAAGCAGTTCATATTGCTTACTCAATTAATTTGAAAACTAAAGTTACTTTTAAAATAGAATGTATATGAATATATGGAAAATACATAAAAGAAAAAGTAAGTAAGAAACTATGCAACTCAACATACAACACATTGGTAAAGAGTGTTATCTGTTAGTCTTTTACTTTGACATATAATTGCCATCATTTATACATAAATATATGTATATTTACACGTAAATATACACATATACATATAGGTGTTTATGTGTGTATATATAATTATATATACAATTTGTATTTTTCTTTATACTTGTCATTTTCCCTTTAATGGCTAAATGATGAGTTAGATAAATGAATCATAATTTATTCTCTGAATTGTTGGAGAGAAATAAAGATAAATTATTAGATTATATTATAAAAATTCTGTGGTAAATATCATTAAATCTCTATGTAGTCATTTTTGAGAACTGTATCCTCAAAATGAAATTCCTGAGTCAAAAAATAGAAAAACCATTTAAAGACCATTTTTTTTGTAGTTTGCTTATCCTATACACTCTTCCAGTTAATATTTTCACTATTAAGGTGTGAGAGTTTTTGTTCTTGCTATAGAATTGCTCATGAATTAAATACTTTGCTTAATATAAGGTTACATAAAGCATTATTCATTAAAAGCAAGGCAGTTTTTTCCAGTTTAACCTATGATATTTATTAGTCAAGTAAAATGTTGCCATGCCAAGATCATATAATACAATCATGTCAGTATTGATATATAAAAATTCTTAAGTGCTATAAAACATTTAACCTAATAAGCATTCCCCTAGTGGTCTTTTTTTAGAGTGAATTTGTTTGATTGATTCTTTTGAGAATGTTTTGTGAATGCTGTCTATAGAGTGTAGGAGTTTTAAATGTATAGAAGAGTAAATACTCTCCATTTGGAAAACATGCATCATGGCTGTGTCTAAGTGTGAGAAATGGTCTACACTAATGGCAGGACTGAGAGAATTGGTTTCTCTTTTGCAAAAGCCTTTCATAAAATAGAGTCACACAGATGGCATCCCTTCATTCACATGCTTTCTTCTCCTCAGGTATCACTATTTTGTTGTTGTTGTTTGTTTGTGCCAGTCCTGGGGCTTGAACTCAAGGCCTGAGCACAATCACTAAGCTTTTTTTGCTCAAGGCTAGCACTCTACCACTTGAGCCACAGCGCCACTTCCAGCTTTTTTGGGGGGGTGGCATTTTGGAAATGAGAATCTCACAAACTTTCTTGTCTGTACTGGCTTTGAACTGTGATTCTTAGATTTCAACCTCCTGAGTAGCTGGCATCAGAAGAATGAGCCACAGGCACCTGGCACTACTTAAATATGTCCCTCATACACATTTTAGAAGCAGATTATATAAGAGAATTCTTCCATTTCAATTTTCTATGAGAAGAGATTAGATAGTAGCTTTGTTTCTTGGTTGTTAGCATAGTAGATCTATACATAAAACAGTATTACAAAGTTCTAATTCCCAACATTTTTCCATACAGAATGGACCTTGACCCAAGGGAAGCAATGTGTAAATAGGTGTCTCATGTGAACACTGCTCTCACCATGATTAATCATTACTATGTCATGGTATAAAATCTGAATGTTCATATGCTTTCTTAAGAAATGTTTCAGTATTTCAACGTTGATTTCTTTCTTCCCTTAGGGCCGATGCATAAACTTCTCTCGTGTTCCACATCAGTAGAAGGAAAGCAAGAAGATGAAGAAGGTACTTAGATGGTGCATTTTCACAATGCTGATTTCATCTAAATGAAAAAAGTTAGGTGCATTTCAGAAACTCTTGGGAAAGCTTCATTCTTCACTGTCAGAAAGTGTTTCCTCTGCCTTCTGCTTTATTTGCACCAAACAATTTCAAACACTTGTCCATGAGAGGTGCTGAAGCTCAGTGGTAATTAGTGATTCATGACATTGGAAATAAAGAGGAAGGTTAATCTGCATGGTATGGTTTATGCAAGAAAACTTGTTTCAATGTTAGGGAAAAAATCAAATGTCACAACAGCCACAATGTAAAGATGACATCAAAACCGGGGACCACAGAACAGGTAGCCATGATGAGTCTTTAATGGAACCAGGACTTCTGAACACGGAAATACGACGCTCATGCTTTCTTTATGGCATGATCATTAGCCACAGGCAGAGTATGAAATGTACCAGCAGGCGAAGCAAACAATGGAGTCCGTTGCCTTTTAGCGCTGTCAGATCACAAAATCTTTCCAAGCCCCCCTATCACAATATGCCTTACGGGAAGTTTCTGACTAGAAAATCTTGTCATTCTAGTACTGAAAAGTGCACATGCATGACAAAATGTAGACAACATGCCTCAAGGTATTGGTAGCATGTGAGATTGTGCCCTTTCGTTTTTAAAGACACCTTTCTTTCATCATGCACTTGGAACAAGAAAATTAACAGAGCATTATTCCAAAGGAAGACAGCCTCAAACCAAAGATCCACAGCAGACTTTAAAGACTCAAGATTTAAGACCTTGTTCATGAGACTCGTAGATTTCCCTCTTTTCCTGTGTTTATGGTTTCATAGTACAGAAAGCATTAACATATGTAAACATACCTAGGAGTTTGTTTTACCTTTAATTTAAGGGAGCAATATGCACAAAGCTTCCACTCAGGGTTTTTAAAAATTTTTTCCTCCTACTTTTCACGTCTCCAAGGGCTCTTCAGCGTCACAAGCCAGCAACTCTCTTTGCATGAAAATTTCAAAGTTTAATTAATATAATTAAAGGCAACAGCAAGCAGCAGCCTGTGAAGATTTTGCTCATCTTTTTTATGCCTTTTGACATTGAATGACCTATTACTGTGTGCGAATTACTTGGATTTTTGAGGAGCACTCTACCTTGGTTGTGATTTAAGAGGCGAAAAGGATCTCCTGTCTTCAGTTTATAAATTAAATTTTCAGGAGGGTCGCCATTAAAACCCATTGACAATGTACGTATTATAATTTCTTTTAGAAAAATCACCGTTGTGTCACATTGACGATGCCAAATTATGTTAGCGTGAGCAGAAGCACTGTGGGGGAGGAAGAAGGCAGCAGCTGAAGAAAACAGCTCAAATGATCTAGTCACTTTCGATACTGTACTTCAGATGCGAAATGGATATTCGACTAGAAACCTGACAAAGCGCGCCTGCTTTGATGTGAACTGGTATAGACAATGACCAGTGGCCGGGTCAGTGGGATGTCTCTCTGTGAGCACAAAGGCTTATCAAATGACACTAAAAATAAGTTCAACAACCATCACATTGGAAGGGAGAAAGGCGAACACTTCATGTTTGGCGGGCATATGAGTGCACAAGATGGAAAGAACGGTTTGGAGCATCCTGGTATAATTACCCCTATTGTGCTTTTAATGGAAATTTCAAAGGACGGAAGTGATACTGTTGGTTGGTGTCCAGATTTATGTCACTGCTCCATGAAGCCTTATGTACACACACAAATACACACACACACACACACACACACACACACACACACACACACACACATGCATTCTCTAGCTTGAATCTTCTGCACAAGTTTATTTATGTCTCTGGCTGGCTGGATCCAAAGCCATGTGTCCACATATACATAAATAAAAATTTTATCTGTGTCTGCACTATCATTTTCTTTCAGTTCATTCTCAAAGCTCTTGCCTTCTTTGGTTGAATATATAATTGCCCTGGTTAATTTCCGGAATGGTATTCTATCCCATTCCAAAATATCCAGCATGTTCACAGATGATACTCTTGGCAGAATCTATGTGTATCAATCCAACATGGAAGCCTGATATAGTATACCCAACCCTGTTGCAGTGAGTTCTTGTAGACATCTGTTCTCTATTTGCATCTGGAACAGGACCTATAGCTATTTCCTTAAATGGATGTTTTATTTCTGATCAAGTCACACCTATTTTAAGAGTATTAAGGATGCTACAGAACCTATGGCTAATGCTTCTTTGATAATTTACATTTCTCCAGAATCATATAATACACTTGTATTTTGCTACATGAGCAATGTAAATAAACCACTGTTTTTAAATGATAAATTTGTAATGGAGATTTATAATGCAAATACCACAGAGAGCTCTCAATGAAGAGGGACAGTCATTGGTTTCTATGTAGGCTGAAAAACAGATTTGTGAAAGTTCAAAGACAGATACAATTTCATTGCCCTTAAGGATATATACCAGTTCTGTGTTACGCTTTTCTTTGATGATTCTAACCAGCAAATAAGAATTTGTGTTAACATTCTCTTACCAGAGGACAAGATCAAAACACTCTGTACCTTTCAATCAGGAAAATTGATTAGAATAACGCCTTTTGTGTAAAGTTTTATGGCACTTTTATATATGTGGAGAAAAATAGCTCCCATGCAACTTTGTGGACATGATGTGAGTCAAGATATACTTTCTGTGTACAAATGAGTAAGTCTTATCCATTATCCATTTGTGTTGCATAAGGTTGCAAAACAATTAAGTGGGAAATGACTCCTAACTTATGTGTCTACTCTGCCTAGAAAGAAAGTTTTGAAGGCATCTATATATATTTCATAACAATGTCTGTTCTTTATGGATTTGATCCATAAATATTTATCTATCTGAAAACTTTGATACTTGGAATGTTTTCCTTAAAGCATTTGGTACTCTAAGAAAAAACATTTGGTGCTAAGAGTTGCAGCACTGATGCCTTTCCCCAAGTTAATTCTATTTTAAAATTTTATATTTCCTTCCCAATGAGATGCAGAGTAAAATTTGAGTCTCCATTGACTAAGGAGCAGCATCTGTCATCTATGGTTAGTTGCTATTTTGACAAAAATGTAGAAGGTTTAAAATCCCCTATATTTCAAGTTGTTAGAGAAGAGATTTGCTTATATTTCCCTCGATCTTTATTCTAACCAGTTAAATAATAAATTATTCTCTATTTTTAAAAATAAATCCTTAGTGGGAATAACATTTGAGTGTGTTTGTGAATGTGTTATCTGAATGTTATTGCTCAGGGGTGAATTATTGCTTATTTTATGATTAAAATGAAATTTATATTATGACTAATAAAGTAGCTAAAACATTTTGATTGAACCACTAACATGTTACTTTTTAAAGGTAAGAAGGCAAAGCATCATTATATTATAAATATATGTTCTAGAATTTATTGTTACTTCTTCCTTCATGCGTGTATTGTATTATGGTTAAGCTTTGGGGTTTTGTTTTGTTTTTGTTTTGCTTGAAGTTAACATTTCTGGCTTTTTTTGGGGGGGGGGTAGTTAATTGGAATAAAAGTCTCATAGACTTTGCTGCCCAGGCTCACGTTGAACTGCAGTCCTCAGATCTCAGCTTCCTGAGTAGCTAGGATTACAGGCATGAGCCACTGGCACCACACTATTTTGGTTCACTTTGAATAGATGTTTTTCAACGTCACATTACTTTAGGAAACTTATTTGAGCTTTACTACTGGAAAAGGTTGGCAAGTGTAGACTTTGCATATATATATATACAAATATATACATCTACATACATATATATTCATATATATATAAGAAAGGAAATATGTAATATCAGTGCATAAAGTAACCCTGGAATATCTTTTACATAATCAAAGAAAGACACTGGTGAAGCTAGAGACCTTTGTTTCATTTGTTGAATTAGTGAGTTCATATTCCAGTCTGAGGATTAGATTAATCTTGTGGTCAGTGAATGTTTATGGCACAATAATGAGAATACTTACTTACCAGAATGTAATTCTGTCAACTGAGTGAAGAAAAAGTACTTTTCCCAATGACATATTTTACTTAATTTGATTTACTCATTGTAATTTTTTAAATTTCTCTGTCTCATGTCCACACTATTGCTGCCCCCCTCCCCCTTTTTACTTGTCAGTCATGGAGCTTGAACTCTGGGCCTGGGCGATGTCCCTCAGCTCTTCAACTCAAGGCTAAAGCTCTACCACTTGAGCCACTTTCAGTCTTCTGGTGGTTTATTGGAGATGAGTCTCACAGACTTTCCTGCCCATGCTGGTTTTGAACAGCAGTCCTCAGATTTCAGCCTCCTGAGCAGCTAGGATTACAGGTGTGAGCCACCAGCACCCAGCTATTGCAACTCTTTTCTAATTCCTATGATTACTATAATCATGTTTCAGATTCACTTGTCTACAAATTAAATTAACAACATATTAATTTGTGATTACAACCCATCTTGATCATGATGTCCAGGATGCTATATTTTGTGCTCTTCTGACAAAAGAAAATGAAGAAAATACATAGCAAGTCATGTAACTTTATATTAAAATGTACTTCTTAGACTTCTTTACAATGAGGCATAGTTTAAGGACTAAGTGGTGAAGATCCTAAACCACCAGGTCATTTGCTGACATTGAGATTCACTGAAGGTATATGAAGCTCTTACTAGCTCTTATGATACTCTAATATGAAGTGTGTGTGTGTGTGTGTGTGTGTGTGTGTGTATGTTCTGAAACTGGGACTTAAACTCAGTACCTGGGTGCTTCTGCTCAAAGCTGGCACTCAACTACTTGAATCACAGCCCCACTTCAGACTTTTTGTTGGTTAATTGGAATTAAAGTCTTTTGGATTTTTCTATCTGGGCTGGCTTTGAACTGTTATTCTCATGTCCGGGCCTCCTGAGTAGATAGGATAACAGGTGTGAGCCAAAGTGTCAGGCTGAAATTATAGTATTTGTAAGTCTCAAAGTTTTAATGATTGGTTTGTCTATTTATAAAACACAATAATATTAATTCTTTCTTTTTTGTCAGTTGTGGGGCCTGAACTCTGGGCCTGGGCACTGTCCCTCAGCTCTTTAGCGCAATGCTAGTGCTCTACCACTTGAGCCACAGTGCCAGTTCCAGTTTTTTCTGCTTATGTGGTGCTGAGGAACCCAGGGCCTCATGCATGCAAGGCAAGCACTCTACCACTAAGCCACCTTCTCAGCCCTATTAAATCTTTAAACTCTCATTTAGTTACAAAAAGAAACAATGAGCCTTAATACGTAATTTGATAATTAGGCTTAATGGTGTAATTTACTAGCAACTTCTTTCAAAGAATTATGCAAATGCAACTGATAATATAGTTTATATCTGATAAAAACTAAGTCCTCTGCTATCTGATTTGTAAAAGTAATTAGAGAGAAAAAACTCAAAAAATGAAGCAAAATTGACTAGTTCTACCAGATGACACCTGTAACAGGATTTTTACCTGCTGAGATTCTTATGTGAAATAAAATGATTATCATCATCACAATAAAGTTTCTTCTTTTTAAACATTCTCGAATTCTAAAAGTTTCTGTTAATTAAACAGAGCAATGACAGACCTTCATTTTCTTTAAATACTTTGTTTGTGTGAGGCTGTCACACAGAAAGAAAGATTATATTTTAAACAATATGTTCAAGTGTAAAAGTCTTGAAAAAATTCTTAGTGTTTTTAAAAATGAAGGGAATTTTCAGGACTTTTATGAGTATCTTGGGATTCTTCCAAAGGAACTGGATATTCCAGAAAATCTTAGAGAATTTTTAATCAAAGTTAAAAGATTATTAGGTACCAAATTTTGGTCCACAATATTCAGTGTACTTTTCCAGTTCCATTTGTAGTAAATGTGCTTACAGTATTGCAGCCAAACACTTAAGAAGAAAATTACAATAGCATTAATGTTGTTCAGTGTCTCTATATACATGTCACTTTATACAGAAAGCACTGGACTGATGTATTTATTAGGCTAACTCAAATGCTAATTCAAAATTATAGAAAAAAGCCACTTCATGAATGCTTTAAAAATTGTAGCATTCATTGACTCATGAAGATAGTATAGTCTTCAACGTATTGAATGGTGGTTACAACTTTGCATTAAATAATGAATGTTTCTCCCTTAACATCAAAAATTAGTCAAATAAACTCTAGATATAAGTGCATATGTGTTTATAATTTCTAATTTTGAAAAAAGCTATCAATTGAATTGAGGGAAGAGAGCTTATATTACTTTCCTATTACTGCATTTATAAATTAATATACACTTAAGTTAAATCAATGAAATTTAAGTTAAAAACCTTAAATAGTATAAAACAATACAAATACACTTATTTACAATTGTGATGGCCAGAAATCTAAACATGAGTTTCATTAAAGTACAATTAAGAGTTGGGTTTAAATTAGTTCTTTCTGGAATCTCTGAGTAGAGAATTCATTGTCTCGACCTCCTCAGCTTCCCTTGTCTGTCTGTCCTCTTTATCATCTTCAAAGTGTACCACACCAACTTCTCCTTTACTTGGCATCTCTCTGATTTCCTGCTTCTTCCCATGAGGACCACTGTGGCTGTACTCAAGTCACTGGATGATCCAGGACCACCTGTGTCATATCCTTAGCGTGGCTATTTCTGATGATTCTCAATTTGCCATGTAGGAAAACAGTCAAAGTTTCTGAGAATAATCACGTAGTCACCTTGAAGGGCCACTATCAAATGCACCACAAAGATTATAATAATTTCTTTCCCTTTTCCGTTTTCTTCAGTATTTTCAGTGAATTGAACTTTCGACATTAGATCCTGAGTTGTTCAAATTTTACTTCTTGCCATACTAGAGTGATTTTTTTTTTTTTTTTTGGTGGGGAAGTGATTCATTTTACATTTTATTTGAGATTTCTCACAAGGAAAAAGATCAAGGGATAAATTCTTGGAAGATGTTTGCCAGATGAAAAACTGTTCATAAGACTAAGAAGCAGATGGGTAGAGTTTTACTGCCTCTAGAGCATTACTTGGCCTGCCTGCATAAGCCCAGAAGTTAACCCGAAGTTAGCCCTTGTAATACTTTCTGCTGTCATTCTGAAAATCCTTTAGGAAAGTATTGAAATATCATCAGAGACAAAATACAAAAGTAAGTCAGTATTCTAATTCTAACATCAGCAACAGACATACAGACCTTAACCAGAAGTTGTCTCCACCTGCTAAGTGTTGGGTTTTTTCCCATAATTTAGTGTTTTTGAACACTCTTGAGAACAAGAGTGATTTCAAATTCCAGTAAAATGAACATGTATATCAAGTCTTGTTCAAGCAGTAACTATGACCAAGGACATTAATAAAACTGATAATCATTAGGATGATTAAAGAGGAGCTGCTGCTCTTCAGGAAGACTCTCCCTAAACAAAAAGAAGATGTATATCACGTATCCAGCATTCTTGGTAACCTGTTATTATATTCTATACATGCAGTAGAAGTCATTTTTCACATGGCTTGTATTTTGTATTTTATGTGGACACAGTTAATTCTAGGATGTTCATTTATCTATTTGAAAATGTTATGAATGACTCACGGCATGAACTTTTATATACTTTGTGGTCATAAGACCATGATTACTCATGTGAAGGACTTTGACATCTGTAAATAACATACTCTTAACTTGTTTAACAAAACACACAAACCACCTGAAAACATTTTCTATTAATACATTACTTTACAACATCCAGGGGCCTTCAACCTATATTATTTATTGTTTTATTAATAAATGTATGCTATACAAAAAAGTTTATGATGTATATATACTACACATATATAATATGCATGTTGTGCTAATTTGGCCAAAAGCAAGGAAAATTTAGTGCTAAGTTATATTCTAATGAGATGGACAAAGGGTGGAATGACTTTTGATGATTCTCAGTAAAATGTCATACCATGAATCCTGAGTGGCCTATTTAAAAATAAACCTTGATCACGTAAAATGAAATTTAATGTGAAATGAGGCCTGTTTTATATGAACAACTCTAAATAAACTCTACACCACTGAGTGACATCTCATTTTGCTGCCACAGTTTTCAGTCTATTAACAGTGTTCCAAGAAATCAAAATGCTTTTGAATTATCCTGTTGGTTGCAAAACATTACTCTGCTCTAACTCACATAAGACACATAAAAAATTTAATGTCCTCTAAGGGTGAGCAAAACCAAACAAAAAGTGAAAATGATGGCTCTGAGATTGCCACAATTCCCAGAAATAAAGGAGGTTTCTATAGGAGGTGGCTTTGAAGGCTAGCTAACGGACCTAATGAAGATCTTTGCTCAAAGGTAACTTCAGAGGTATACCTTTAA